ATATAGCAGACCAGTGGTGGACCAGCAGTAGAAATCTTGCCCTCCATATGTGAGCCCCAGGTTGTATTCTCTGCCGATGCACTCCATGTACAGCCACCACTATCTGTAAACTGAGGATTGCATGTTGCTGTGATGCTGAACAGATTTCAGTGGAGCTTCCAGACCGCAACAGGCTAGGAAAAAAGGCCTGGCAATCTACCTCCAAAAATCAGCCAATGAAAACCCCATGGGTCACAATGGTCCAATCAGCAACTGATCATGAGTATGGTACAGGATTGGGTAGCACTTCATTCTATTGTGCATGGAGTTGCCATGAACTGGATACTATTTTTGCCCATATTACATATTTAAGGCTACTAAGGCACAGAAGGTTGGGCAATCCTACTTCCATAGTGACACTGCCTCGAAAACCCAAGGAGGGGTCGCTATGAGTCAGGGATGACTCGACGGCAAATAACAACAACAACAAGACACAGAAAAGCCTCATAGCAAGTTAGCATTACTCAAAGAGTAAAACATGGACATTCTGTTCTATTACTAACTATACCATTCAACATATATGACATTATTCTTTATTTTGGAATGCCTCATGATAATGTGTCTTCTCCTTAGTTATATTCCTCTTTCTGACCCAGAGCCATAATTTTGTACTTATTCCACCACCTGAGAAATTTAATTTCTATTGTAAGCAAAAAGACCACTTTTGGGGACCTCTTTGCATCAGGTCTGCGTTATCCTTGGCCATTCTTTAGATTCTTTGCTGATCCTATTCTCATTTCAAAGCCTGTTTTATATTGGTGATAATTTGCATTTGGTATTGACCAAGATGGAATACTGTACCTCCATTTGTTCTCAAGTCAGAAGAAAAAAGGTCAAATGAAATAGTGATTTTCTCAGTGTGTGTGTGAGTGTGTGTATGTTTTACATGCTTTCAGAGATAGCAGCCTGCAAAATAGTTCTAAACTTTTCAATGGTTGCAGCTCCCCACCGTATCTTCCAGCTTTCATGTGTCTTTTGCAAATCGTCAATTTTTAATGATCAAGCATCCCCACAGAATTAGTGTAGTATGAGATGCAGCAAACTCAAATGAACTAGAAAATCCAAGCAATGGACACATGTCTAAAAAACTCAATGTGCAGGTCACTGGATGCATAGCAGCCTGAGATGCTCTCTGTCACCCTTAGTGAGTTTCCCATCCAAGATCACGCTTCTCATCTTAACAGGCCTTGGAAAGCACTGGAGACTTGGAGGTTTGAATGTTTACCTAGTCATTCACTAGCTGTGTGGTGTTAGACAAACAACTTATCTCTGAGTTGCCATTCTTTCATTTGTAAAATGGAAGAAACAGTATCTCTCTCATAACACTGTAAGAAATGAAGCTCTAGAAAATGCATGGCATATAATATAGCACATAACACAGTGCCTGGTGTAGAAGATACATTTTAAAATAAGAGCTATAATAGTAAGAAGTATTATGTTTATTAGCTGTCCAGAGACGAATTCTCAATCTTCTACGAAAAACTTTATAAATACACAAACGTTTGTCATGTCCTACCCTGTTTCTATTTCTTCCTCTTTTTGCTCTTCCTAAGCCACCCAGATACCTACATTTATGCAGTCTCTTTCTCCAGAAAATCTCATAGAAAAGTATCTGATCAAACAAATTCTCACTTTTTCTTCTTAGGCACAGCACTAAGGGAAAAAAAAAAAACAATCTCTAGCATGAACGAATGAATTGCTACTGAAATCAGTGACAGGATTTGGGGAAGGTAAACTCTTCCCTTACACCCTGGCGATTGCACAGATCGGTAGGTGGCAAGTTTCTCAGCTCAGAATGGTTTCTGAACACCACTCACCATCTGACCCTACCTATCTCTATAGCTCCCCACTAACCATCCCACCCTCCTCTCCATCTCCATATCCTCTTGCCTACTCAACTCTTTGCAGTCCTGCTGTGCATCTTGTTCACTCTCATTTTATGCCTTTGCATATTCTGTTCCCTCTGCCTAGAATGCCCATCCCCCATGCAGATCATTTCTAGCTGTCCTTTAAAGTTCAGCTTAGAACACCTTTTCTAAATTGCCCCTGGTATCCCCACTCCCATGGCTACTGAATCATTTAACTATGGCATGAGGTAGAGAAGTGGGATTCACACTGCACTGGGAATGGTGCCCTGTAGAGTTGTTCTGTGCACAACCTGCACAACTGTACCCAGTTCTCCCATACTTTGTGCCCCATCCCACTTCTCCTATGCCAGAAGTCTTATGATAAACACTTCCATCTCACTGTTTTCATCATTTACTTGATGTCTTTCCTGCCAGGTTATAAATTCCTTGAAACAGGCATATGCCCTCTATTTGTTTTTTCTTATACCTGGCACACACTAGGTATTCCATAATGTTTGATCAATTGATTAATGAGTAAGTGAATTAACAAATGAATGAATAAATTCAAGGGTTAAATGACAGCTTGGCTTTGGAGGTGGAGGATAATAAATTGTGAAATTAACTCTGCAGGAACAAGATCAGAACAATGAAAAGGAGAACAAAATATAAAGTGAAAGATCCTCCATTAATAACCTGATTTGTGGCTTGAGAAGTAAACAACCAGAACGGGGTGGGAGCCTCTTGCAGGTGAGGCTCTTTGGGGGCCCCCTGACTTCTTAATAATAGATAGCTCACAATTTGGCAGGAAAGTGTGCAAGAGGACATGGGAAATACGATAATAAAGATAGGTTTATAAGAATTAGGGGGATCCCTGGTGGCATAGTGCTTAAAGCATTTGACTGCTCACCGGAAGTCTGACAGTTCAAACCCACCAGCCACTCCTCAGAAGGAAGGTTGGGCAATCTACTTCGGTAGTGATACTGCCTCAGAAACCCAAGGAGGGATTGCTACGAGTCAGATCCAACTCAACGGCAGTGAGAATAAGAATCAGGGAGTTGACACCAAGAGTTAAGTACTTGCTTATTTACCAAAAAGTGTTTGGTTCAAATTCACCCAGAGGCACCTGGGAAGAAAGGCCTGGCAATTTGCTTCTGAAAAGTCACAACCACAGAAAATCCTATGGAGTACAATTATGCTCTGAAATACATGGAGTCACCATGAATCTGAACCCACCTGACCATTACTGGTTTGTTTTTGTTTTTTTGTCAGAATCAGTCTTATAGGCTAAAACAATGGTAGAGAAAGTTTGTTTTCTACTACCATCTTGGGTCTCACTAACATCTCTTTGGAATTGAGATGGAGTCAGTATCTGTGTATTCCAAGTGGAGAAGCACTACTTTCACAACTTCACAATTAGTTTCTCTCACTTCCTTTTGCTTACTGTTTAAAGTTTCAGAACTTGCTGTACATCACAAACATTGCTGCATCTTTACAGCAGAAATTATCTGCATTATAGATGCAGAAATTTCCTGCAGGAGGCCAAGGATACTGGAGCCTATATTTTGAGAATAATTATTATGAGTTGAAAGAAAGTCTGACTAGGCCTAGGGTCATGCTGCTTGAAGCCATTCTAATATTCATTTAGTTGGAACCATAACCACACTGAGTTATTGCTGGTCTTGTATGGATCATAAATTCACAGTCAGCTTTTGGCTTAGACAAGAGGATGTGCATTTTCTCTGCTGTTGCCCCTCAGGTCTTTTCATTTCATTATGACTGTTGTTCTTAGAAGCATGATTTTCAATCTATAATCCTAGGTCAACATGGTCCATACATTTAAGAGTATAGAGTTTTCTTTAAGCCGACTTTGTTGAAATAGACATCCATTATATGCTATCTCTGTCTTTCAGGACTAGCACATTCTGTTCTATCAAGGAAGGAAGAAACAATTTTTTAAATGAATGGACTTTGTACTCTGGCATATGTTTTTAACTGGAATGATAGCAGCTGAAGTTCTAAAAAGGGTTAGAGCTCCTAAGGACAACTTTTTAATTTGAACAGCAATTAAGGTGTCTGTCACATCTTCATTCAATTCATGTCCCCAAGCCCAGTAGTCCCCCTCTTTATACTCTTACTATATTTATTAAGCAGGTGTAACTAAGAAAAAAGATTTAAAAGGGGCCCAGGTAATTTCATCAGTGGAACATATGCATGAATTGTTGAAAACTACAAAAAGCAATATAGTACTACCATTTAGATCAACTCCAGAATGAATGCTGCCAGCCATCAAAAAGGACACTTGGGTTGATGGTTTCTGAGTAGGAGGGGATAGATAAGAATATTCTTCATATGAAGCCTCATAGAAAACTGAGAGTTGTGAGAGCCAAAACCAGGAGAAAGTGAGTAAAAGTTGAGAGTCATTTACAAGTCAGGAACACAAGTATTAGCAAAGATTTTCCAGTCATGATTGACACATTTTCAAATACAGGGTTAAAGAAAGCAAAGAGATGTTCAGAATTGATTCCCTCCCTCATCAGAGTCAAGCAAACAAAAACTCAACCTTGGGAAAATGGAAAAAATCTATGAGGCCATGTGTGAGACTTTCCTGACTGACAGAAGATATTAGTGTTAGGAACTATTTAACTCTGAAGAAGGCCTCTGTGAAGAGGATGGCATTATGTATTTCTTAAATTCCTAATGTTCAGTTTACTTCATCTAGAGTGTAGTCTATATATTTGTTAACTTGGGTACGAATACACATATAAACAACTTCTACCAAGGAGAAAGGAAGTGAAGATGGTATGTCAGAAAGACTTAGTCCTGAAGGAAATTAATGATTATACTTTATTTCTATTATCATGGGTAATTCTTACACTTACTTTTTTTATGTTTGTTTGAAGATGTAAAGTGATAAATAAATCTGAACAACTGTGCTTTCTTGATTTTGCAGAGTTAAGAGGACGATTTATGAAGGATGGAAGCTTCCATCAGGTTTAGAAGAACATAGATTGAATTTAATGTTCAAGAACATAGATTGAAGTGCAAGACTGCCCTGAAGACCCATGAACAATCCCACACTCAAGCTTCTCGCTAGAACTTTAAGATTTCTTAGTAATATGCTGCCTTTGCAAGATGGAAAGAAGCTAATGCCAAAAAGGCATATTATTCAATATTTGAGATAGACGTGCTGTGAAGACAATGGCTTCAAAGGTGTCCTGTTTATATGTTTTGACAGTTGTGTGTTGGGCCAGCGCTCTTTGGTACTTGAGTGTAACTCGTCCTACTTCTTCCTATACTGGCTCCAAGCCATTCAGTCACCTAACTGTTGCCAGGAAAAACTTCACCTTTGGCAATATAAGAACTCGACCTATAAACCCACATTCTTTTGAATTTCTTATAAATGAGCCCAACAAATGTGAGAAAAACATTCCTTTCCTTGTTATCCTGATCAGCACTACCCATAAGGAGTTTGATGCCCGCCAGGCAATCCGAGAGACATGGGGAGATGAGAATAACTTTAAAGGGATCAAGATAGCCACTCTATTCCTCCTGGGCAAGAACGCTGATCCTGTTCTGAATCAGATGGTAGAACAAGAGAGCCAAATCTTCCATGACATTATCGTGGAGGACTTCATTGACTCCTACCATAACCTTACCCTCAAAACATTAATGGGAATGAGATGGGTGGCCACTTTTTGTTCAAAAGCCAAGTATGTCATGAAAACAGACAGTGACATTTTTGTAAACATGGACAACCTTATTTATAAACTACTAAAGCCCACCACCAAGCCAAGGAGAAGATATTTTACTGGCTATGTCATCAATGGAGGGCCGATCCGGGATGTCCGTAGTAAATGGTATATGCCCAGGGATTTGTACCCTGATAGTAACTACCCACCATTCTGTTCGGGCACTGGCTATATCTTTTCAGCCGATGTGGCTGAACTCATTTACAAGACCTCACTCCACACACGCCTGCTTCACCTTGAAGATGTCTATGTGGGGCTGTGTCTTCGAAAGCTGGGCATACATCCTTTCCAGAACAGTGGCTTCAATCACTGGAAGATGGCCTACAGTTTGTGTAGGTATCGCCGAGTTATCACTGTACATCAGATCTCTCCAGAAGAAATGCACAGAATCTGGAATGACATGTCAAGCAAGAAACATCTCCGATGTTAGGATTTTTACCAATGTAAATACGTTTCTTTTCTTTTTTAAGAAATGGGGCCTAAGATGTTGGTATTTTACAAGTGTCACCAGGGGAAATGAACCAGAGAAGGGGTTTTGTAAAAAGTTTTTCTTCCTACTCTCAGTACCTTTCTTTGATGACCAATTTACAAATATTATGCTCTGGTCATAGAAACAACACATGAGCTAGAAGGGCCGGATGTCATTCGAAGGTCCTACAGCATTACCATTGCCATTTATCTCAAAAAGCAAGTTCCAAACAACTCTTAGGATTTTCATAATCAGGTACTGTGCACCTAAGATAAAAATCTGGGTCTGAGAAACTGAAACTCACAGTAAGGTCTTCATATCATTTCTACAAAAAATATAAAAAGTAACACTTTAAAAATATTCAGAAATGATGCAGTCAGGAAGACACACCAGATATGATTACTAATATTGTGTATGTTATTGTTGCATTGAGTTTTTACATATATTGCCATGTCATATGTGCAGTATTAGTGCTTCCACCAGAAATGAACTTAGTACTGGTGGGGACACTGCAGTTAAATAGATGGAAATTTAAACTTGAGAATCAAATATTCTTTATGTTTGGGAGACAACTCTGCTTGCTCATCCAAGGAGTAAACCTGGTCAGTAGGTGGAATGTATATAAATGCTACTTAACAAAATAAACAAGAAGGTTTTTGTTTCTGTTTTCTTGTTCTTTCAGAAAAAAAATATTACATGGTGCCTCCATGGAGACTTTGCCAAATGTAATCTCACTTGCTTTCCTCCATACAGTGTCACTAAGTGCATTTCACAGTTCTGGAGCATGCAGGCACGTGTCTCCATGTGTAGAAAACAAGTTGATAGGAGGCCAGAAGAAGGATAAATCACACTAAGAAAATACAAATTTATGTATGCGTTATAATTAACATAAGCTTAGCAATAGTAGAAAATGCACATCACATACATTCGCAAAACAAGAGAGAAAATCTTTAATGGGTACCAATTTTATTGAAAGGTGTAATAAATTTTAACATTTCAAACATCTAAGTACCTTTAGCAGCAATGCTGTTCTGAGGTAATCTTGTGGCACTGAGATTGAGGTTCACAGGAAAGAAGGTGGGGAAGCTTGGGGTCAGGTCCTATTTTTGCCATCATACTTATTGGGTCAGGTGAACAGGCATCTTAACCTTGCTGTGATCATTTATAAAATGGTTATACACAAACAAAAAACATAAAACCACCTACCTCCCAGGTGCTGTAAGGGCAAATCACATTAGCTAAGTTATTTTGAGATCCTTAGTTTAAAAGGTGCTACATAATGCAATGTATCATGCATTATGCTAAATAAAAAAATAAGTATGTAATAATAACAATTATGGTTATCAGTACTCCTGCTCCTCACTTACCAACTATCTCATCATCTGACATTTTGCATTTATGACCATAATAAAAAAAATCTACTATTTTGCACATTAACAATGTATGTCCGAGGGTAACAATTGCTGAGATGTAAGGTGACAGTAATGCTGGCTGTAATGGTTAAGGTTATGTGTCAGCTTGGTTGTGCCATGATTTTCATTGGTTAGGCAGTTACGTAATGATGTAATTTGGCAGTTTGTAATGATGTATTCATCCTCCATTTTATCATAATGCCAATTTTCATATAACAACCTGGTCTTTGGAACATAACCATGTTGATAAGTGAGGAGTGGGTGTGGTAGTAACATAATCTTACCCATCAGTGGACCTGATTCTTTCAAAACTTTGAATTTTCCTTTGGTATAAGTTAGGTGTTTGGGAATTCCCTCAGTGTAATTGCCTCAGTGTCCCAGGCTGAAAGTGAAAGCAGTTGCCTTTCTTTGTGGAGGAGCCTCTGGCTAGGAGTATATTCTAGTAACTGGAACACCTGCTTTGCAAGATGGATCTCACTGACCTACATATCAGAAAACATTTGACCTGAATCCCCTCTAAGAACTTTGAAAACAAGTAAGGCTAGTCCACCTCGAGAAGAAGAATAGGCACTCAGCAAACACATCACTACACACTGTAGACCTACACACTGTAGATCTTCTACCATATATTAGAAAACTCCCATTTGTTTTCATTCAAAAAGCCTCACAACTGAAAGAGAGTACATCTTAGTTTGCATTAACTTGACCCCTGGAAACTCCCAGAAAAATTAATAGAAAATATGTAAATGATACCAACAAATAGAACTCATGGTCTATTTCTTGAAAAGATTCCATATCTCATCCCCAACAAAAAGAATCCAATATGAAACAGAAAATCCCATTCCTTAATACATTTTATCTTAGGATCCGTGGAGCTGCTGATTTTGATTTGAGAACAGCATTAGGTAGCCTTGGAGAGATGAACCAACATAACACAAGCCACCCTCAAGCCCTGTAATCTCAACTGCAGTTCTGATCATTGGGAAAGTCCCAGGATTTTGTATGTGGTTCACCTTTCAGTCCTGCAGTAGAATCAAGCCTCTGTTTCACACTGTTGTCTCACATCTATCTACACCTTGCTCAGTCAGGCCACCTTTGGTATCAAAGAATTGCACATTATAACATCATATATGTACATCTATGAGTTCTTTCACATATATGTGTGTATCCATTATGAATAGAGCCCTAATCTTAAAAAAGAGCAAAAATCAGAGAAGCATATGTCTTAAAGGACTATTTCCTGACTTTTCTAAGACTGTAGCACCCATAAAACGAATATGTAAATATTCATCAGAGACCACATGTACATATTTTAAAGACATCTTCTTTTCTTCTTCCCAGCTGTATGTATACTTAGAATCTGCTTGCTGTGTATCATTTTCTTCTGCATGGAGCTTGGTGAGGCAAGGCCATTTGTCCAGTGTTGCAATAGCCTTAAGCATGTTTGCCCTTCATTTTTTTCAATGTTCAAAGAAATGTTTAAGTCAAATGATAAAGAAATAGCTCTAATTTTCTACTTTGTTAACTTTATGATACTGGCCAAGTTATGGTTTCAATTATTTATTAAGCCATTTTGTGGATTTTTTTTTTTTTTTCCTATCATTTCCATGCCATAAAATAATGTTTCAGACAGTATTCTCCCAGGAGTCATTCAGACAATTTTGACCACAACTTTCTGACTGTCCCCCTACTATTTTGTTTATTATGCACTGGATAACAATAGGTAACAATAATCAATGTCTGTATTCTTAAAGTTTCTTTTCTTAATTTATATTTTTTTAAAACTGCTATCTTCAGTGGCCTAATTTGTGTGGCTTTGTGTCTTCTTATATTGGAGCAAATGCCAGTTTCAATATATAGTATTGTATTTTTAAATAACTAGAATCAAAAAATGGAGAAAATCATTTTTGACTTGGATTAAATTCAGAACAAAACCCCTCTGCGTGATATGATGTGGGGAAAATAAACTTTTCAGAGAAACCAATGAAGGAGTTTTTCAATCAAATCTCTTCTATCAAAAGACTGTGGCGTATTTGCATAAAGTATCTGGGATTCATTTTCTACCTTTCCTAATATGTGGGTTTAGTGGGGGAATTGATTATGTCATTTCTTCTGTAAAGGTGAAGATCGTTTTTATAAGCAAAAGAGTAACTTGTGAATGAAAGAAGTAATTTACTAGAAACGCTTGTTGACGATAATTGACATTTAGGTATATCATTATATATGAATGATTGTATTTATGTATTTATTTGTCAAAATTGTACATATTGTTTCACCAAAAGTAATTGTCTATAAATGTGCACTCTCCAGGTTTGTAGTATTATTTAGGGTTACATGGGTTGCCGATTAAGCTGCTAACCAGAATACTATTTTTTGTATCAATGTTATAAAACTGAAAAATGACAAATAGATACTGAATATGTCTTTACATTCAGTTTCTTCACCTTCTTCTTGAAATGTAAACTGTTGATTGACAGCACGATGCTAATGTATAGGCCCATCTGTCACAAGGAAGATTATGGTTCCATAAAGCTGATTTTTTAAAACCATTGGGACAAATAAACAGAAGGAGAACATATTTTCCACTTCGTTTTTTTTTTTTTTTTTAAAGACTCTCTTCAGTAAAATGTGAGCATTAAAATCAGCTGATGCCCTGCCGTTTATCATTAACCTTCTCACAACCTCAATGTAGGCAATAGTTCAAACCATTCAGAGCTTGTCAGCAAGAGCACACAATAGCTTAAAAGTCAATTTAGAGGCTGTTTGGTCTAGTAGGCCATGGACTACTCCAGGATTGAGGAAATTTTGATATCTTGGTTGCCTCTCTGCAGCTTCAGCTATTTTAACTAACCTCTGAGTTAAATTCAAAAGTCCCCTGAGTAGCGCAAATAGGTTTCAATTGAATACGAATCTAAAGTCTGGTGGTTCTAATCCTCCCTGCAGCACTGCAGAAGAAAGGTCTGATGATCTGCTCTGTAAAGAGGAAAACCCTAGGGAGCACAGTTGTAGTCTGTATCACACAGGTTTGCCATGTCAGCATTGACTCCACTAGAACGAGTTAGGTTTTTGGATGTTAAATTCTAAAACTTGAACATGTCAACATATTCCAACCCAGGCAGTATTATTATGTTGATAATGTGCTTGATGAATTTGAACATGAAAAATCTAAGGCAAGAAACCCTCGTAGCACAGTGGTTAAACACTCACTCAGCTGCTAACCCAGAGGTCAGTGTTTCAAACCCACTTCTGTGAAGATTTTAAAGATTTACAACCTTAGAAGCCCTATGGAGTGGTTCTACTCTGTCCTACAGGGGTGAAATGCATTGGAATTGATGGCAACAAGTTTTTGTGTTTTGTTTAAATCTAAGGCAAAGCTGCCATTCTTCTATTTCATCCATATATATCCTTTGGAATAGTGCATACCAAAAAACAACTCACTGCCATTGAATCAATTCTGACTCATAGCGACCCTCTTTGGGTTTCTGAAGCAGTAAATCTTTGCAGAAGTAGATTGCCCAGTCTTCCTTCTGCGGAGTGGCTGGTGGGTTTGAACCGCCAACCTTCTGGTTAGCAGTCAAGTGCCTTAGGCACTATGCTACCAGAGCTCATATATAGTGCATACTATTTTAAAAATGCTACTGGGTTGGAAAAATATTACTCAGACATTCTTTATAGCAGACACCAGAAAAATCAAACTCACTGCCATTGAGTTGATTCCAACTCATAGCGATCCCCATTGGATTTCCAAGGCTGTAAGTCTTTAAGGGAGTAGATTGCCCCATCTTCTTCCACAGAGTGGCTGGTGGGTTTAAACCACTGACCTTCTGATTAGCAGTCAAATGCCTATCCACTATACCACTGAAACTCCTTTTATAGCAGACAAGTAGGTGCTAATACCTTTTTTCCTAACCAAAAGGTATTTAAGAGACAAACCAAACCCACTACCATTGAGTCAATTCTGACTCATAGCAACACTGTATAGAGTAGAACTGCCCCATAGGGTTTCCAAGGCTGTAAATCTTTATGGAAGTAGACTGCCTCATCTTTCTCCCGGGGAGCGGTGGTGGGTTCAAACCACCAACCTTTTGATATGCAGCCCAATGCTTTAACCACTGTGCCACAAGCATTCCTTCAAGAGACAAACCAAAACCAAACCACACCTACTGCCATCTAGTTCATTCCAACTCATAGTGACCCCCATTGGGTTTCCAAGGCTGTAAATTTTTTTTTTTAATTAAATTTTATTTTATTTAGATTTGGGTGAAGATTTACAGAGCAAAATCACTCTCGATACAGCAGTTCACATATACTTTGTCTCATGTCATTGACCACAATTTACCACAATGCA